TGTAATGAGACTTCAAATGGCTTCATGTAGACTTCAAGAATATAGAATGTTGACCAACTTTATGTCACAAGAAATGACAAAGTTCAAAGCATCAGCTTGAATCAAATTGACCTAAAATGTTTGATCTTGTTGTAGTTCTCTGGAAAGTTTTTTTGAAAGAGCAAGTAAGATATGTTTCTTAACGCTACTTTCTAATGCAATTCAATTTTCCTACAACTAAATATTGTCCGAAAATACTACCAAATATATTTTTTAATATTACATTCTCTAAATCATCATGCTTTAAAAAACTAATATATACCTAACTTTAAGAGGTGCTCCACCCTTTAATTCAATTCAGATTATATTATATAGATGCCATTTTACAGACGCCGATACTGATGGATAAGAAAAAGGTGAATACTGATTAATTAATTAATTATTCCTGGCCTGAAAAATTATATGCTTTTATATTTTTGAACAATTGAATGTTAATTCAAATGTTCAAAAATGTAAAAGCATAAATATTTTCAGGACAGGATTAAGAACATCATGATCATTCTGTTGCTTGTAACATGTAATCCAGCACTATCTGCCACATGTCTCACTACCTTGTAGGACTCGTCTTTTTAGGCAAAAGCCAGGAAAAATTAATTTTACACCCCCCTCTCCTTGCCGCAAAACTCTTGGTTGAGTTAAGACTAAGGATCTTGTCTCAATAAAAATACTCATCTTAGGCAGATTTTAACATCCAGCTACTTTCATAGAAGATTCCTCATAAACCTTCTTCATCTAACAGTCTAGCACAGATGTAAACATGTTACATTGTTTTCTGCTAAGGATGATGAACCTTCAATTTTCTTGACACTACTCAAGCCTTCCCAGGAGACACGTGTGGTTATTTGTCTTGTATGTCCACGCATTTTTATTTTAGATAACATAGTCAAGGCCCTTTGCAAATTTTATTACTTTGCGGAAAAAACATTCAAATACAAAGAAAGCAAAACTAACAAAATAGGAAATTAAATCAAATTTAAATGGAAAAAAAAATTAATAACTTAAATAACTTGCATGCTGTTTTTATTTTTTTTTTCTTTAGGGTGGCTGTTATTTTAAGCAACAAAATTTGATGAGGCAAAGCATAAAACAAAAACAGTTTTAAGTCAACATTAAAAAGAATAATTTTCCTATATTTTATTTGTTTTTTTTTTTAATGAGGAAAGCAAAAATATAAATTGCTTTCTGTTTGTAAAATATATATATATATATATATATATATATATATATATATATATATATATATATATATATATATATATATATATATATATATATATATATATATATATATATATATATATATATATATATATATATATATATATATATATATATATATATATAATTTTAATGTAACAAGTATATATTGTCCCTTTTAGATTTACTTCTGTGTAAAGCATGTCTATATGTTTATATACACACATTGGTTTGTTTATGTATGTGTATATACGCATCTACCTCATATGCTTTACTTTTACATCACTTTTTAATTAAATATTTATATCTTTTGTTCATTATTAAACACGCATTTAGCTTATTTGGATAAGACATTGACTTCATACATGAAATGCCTGTGGTTCGATTCTTTTAGTTTTAGTCTTTCTTTTAAATACCACTGCTCATATATTTGCTTTATAGCCATCAGGGGTTGTTTTTTTTTTTGTTTTTTTATCTTTTGTTTTTTGTATATAAAAAATCTTTCTGTTTTTGAATGATACACATCTCTTCACATTCAGATTTTTTACCATTTTTTCATTTTACAAAGCATACACATAGACATAGTTTTTAAGCTTCAATTATGCAATACCGTCTGCGCATTTTTCTCATAGCCCTAACTGTTTCATATTACCTTTCTATTCCTGTACATTTTTTATTCACAATCTTTTTGCGCCTTGTACTTTTGGATACCAATTGCTTTTTAACATTCAACTCAGTGTGCTTAGTTCTACCCATCTCTTCCCTTTTGGTCTACAATGTTATTGGTAAAATATAAGTAAACAATTATTATTAATAAATTTTTGCATGAATTTTTTGCTCTAATACTGAAGATCTGTCTGACACCTTTTAATAGTTTTTAGCAAACTGGTACTCTAATAAAATCTTGTCTCATTTTTTTATGAGGCTACTAAAATTTTAACTGAATACTTAATAATAAAAGAAATTGTTTTATGAATGCTATTGAAAAATGAAAGCGTTGTTTGTCTCTTTTATTCGCCTTTATTACGACGGGTTGATGTTTGATGTTTCTATTACAATTCAATAATAGAAAGGAAAAAAAGTTAGTTAACGCGGAGTTGATAATTTAAAATTTATTTAAAAATAATTCATTGATTGCAATGACTTCACTTTGGTGGGAAAAAGCTACAAAAAAAAGAAAAAAGAAAAGAAAAATGAAAATGAAATGCAAAATGCTTTTACAAATTACTTCTATTGATTGTTTAATAAATGAACAAATTTTATTTAAATTATTGAAAAGTTAAATTAAGTTATTGAAAAGAAAAAAATATAATATTTTTAAGTTGTGTAAACATTTTTTTCAAAAAATTTCAAAAAAAAATTATTTAAAAAAACAACATATTTTTATTTTATTTTTTAAAGTAGAAATTTTTAATCATTTCATGCTTTGATTAGTGAGTCAAGTTTAAAACAAAAAAACTTTTAAACAACTTTTTGTAAAAATAGAAACAAAAATAAATAAATAAATAAATTAAATCATGGGAAGATTTGATTTAACTTATTCATAATTCAAAGTAACTTAAAAAAATAATATTTTTATAATAATAATAATAATAAGATAAGATTTTTAGAAGGATATTTTTAGTAGGATATTTAGATTTTTAGAAGGATATGGAATAATAGTCTTAAGTATTTGAAATTGTCATAAAAACAAATACCTACTAAAAAAACTTAAACATAACATTTAATTTACACATGTGTTTTATGCAAACGATCATTATAATTAACTTTTTATTTTAATTAAAGTCTTTCGCCTAAAATAAAAACTTTAAAAAAGAACAACAAATAAAAGTTATTCATAACATAACGATTTTATTAATTGCATTTAAATTGTTAAAACATCATAACAGCCGTCAACAAATTATAACAAAAAAAACATTAAAATATGCAATATCGAATTTTATTAGAAAAAAAAAATCTGCGAAGAAATATTCACAATAAAAAAGAAAGAAACTTCACTAGACTAATATTAAATAAATTGAATAATATAACCCAGATTTCGATTACATAACTCGGTTTCGTAAAACCGTAAAAATTATACTTTAAAAGTTTGATCGGACAGTCCAACCTAAACAAGTTTCAATTAAACACTTTGTCCGGGACTTTGTAAAAAATTAAATTGAGCCCTGTTAGGCTATCCTTGCTTTTTGCTGTTATTTGAAAATTTTGGTTTCTTGCATGCAGATTATCTTGGTTTCTTGCATGCCACATATAATTTATTTTGTGAAGAACTCTTCAAACAGTTCTTACACTCATATTTAATCCAGATGTATTGTTCAACTTATGTCAGACCACTGTTAATGATATTTTTTGTCATGTTTTAATAAATGAATTAACAAAATTGTTGTTGATTCTTATCTCTTGGAACTTGGGAAATTTATAATGGAAAGACTCAGAACAAAAAAAACAAAGTTGTTTAACTTTATTTTGTGAGTCAGCATTCGATTATTCAGACATAAAGATCATACCAAAATTTCTTTCATATTCAAAATACACCTAGCCCTCCAACAATTTAACAATTGGTGCAGACAACAATGGGGCAACATGACGCAAATTAAAAAACAACATAGAGCTATATTTTATTATTAAACATATATTTATATTTATATATAAATATTTAAATAGACTGAGGGTTAAGGTTTGGCCATATACAACTTACACAAAGGATATTTAATACTAAAAAAATTCCACTTTTTTTTACTTTTTGGTCAAAAAACTGTCTGGATTAAAGTCCATATATTAAAAATCAAAGTGTAAAATATTTCGACAGTGCCAACCTATTTACATTTTTATATATCATCAGCCCTCGGAATTAGGAAAAACACTTCTAGGTCATCAGTTACGTCAGCATTGCCGAATGCCGATCCTAATTCTGAGGGCTGCATTATAGATTACTATATTTTAAAATAGGGTATATTTTTTATCTTTGTTAAAGATCCTAATAGTGATTATAATATTAATTTTAATATTGAATCATTGAAACAATTAAGCTTTTATTCTGACCTTTTTTCAAACTCATTAATAAAATTGTCATAATTATATTATTGTCAAATTAAACTTTTTAGCAGAAAAAAAAGAAATTATATAAAATTATATGATTATGCGTTAATTTGTGTTATATTTTAAAAATGAAGTTGGGACAACTGTCTGACTATAAACATGAAATTCCATACTTTGAAGAACTTTTAATATCCATATTGAAGCATTAATCCAAAAAAAGTTATTTTTCACAACTGACAACTAATTATATTTCTATATCTTAAAACTAACATTTTTAAATCTTTGAAATGATCAAGATTCGTTATCAGCTCATAATTCTCATTGCTTTTATTCACTCACTTTTTTCAAACTTGAAATTTTTTAACAAATGATAACCAATTTGAAGAATTTTATTTAATGGTTTGAGAAACCTGAGAAAGTAAAATATTTAATTTCTCAGAACTTCATTCTGAGAAATTTTTTCAAACAACCTTCAACATAAGAATTTTTTTTTACAATCTTCAAGCTGAAAGACAAGAATTTCATATAATGATCTTAAAAAGCACTGAGTACTTTAATATGGAAAAAAAACAACAGTATTTTAACACGTTCTTGATTGTGCATTTTAATTTTTTATTAATTTTAATATTGAATTTTTTTCAACCTGTATTATTTTCTTTACCTTATTATTTAATAACCTTATTATTTTCAACCTGTAGTAAGTATAATGTAATTTATAAATTTACCTGCATAGAATTTAAATCAGACAAATCATCATAATCATCTTTTACAGTTGAAGCGTCAATAGAAAACATTCCTAAACCACGACTTGCATCTCGCCCAGCAAACACACTGTATGGACCATCTATCAAATATTCAAGTAAAAATTCATCAAATATCAAACTCACTAACAAAAATTATTATCATTATTAGTTTTTATGTTTTATTTATAATTATATATTATAATATATATTTTATAATTAAAAATATTTTATAATTAAAAACTTAAATTTTATAATTAAAAACATATTTTATAATTAAAAACTGATTGAATAAATTTATAATTTAAAGAAATTAATAGAACCGAAACTGATTAAATAAATAATTAAATTCTTTGCGTATATACAAAAATTTAAATAAACTTTCTTGAGGTACACATTTCTGTGTTAACTAATATCTAATGCAAAGACAGCGTGATTGCTGTAATTAATATGTTACAAAGGATTACTTCGTTTTTTATTAAAAAATACTTTTGAAAAGCTTAGCTTCACAGCCTCAAATGTGATTAATATATCTTAGATATATATTAAAATAAATGCATGTTTGTTTGAATGGCATTTAAGTATTTTACATCAATCATCCAACCCTAACCGATTTTGGCACAGAAAAACATTAAGACCATTAGAAAGCATAAACTTAATATGAAGCAACCATCTTAGCCAGCCTAAAATTCACTTTTTTTGTTTATTTTTGCTAAACCTGATAAATTAGGTTAGTGTAACAAGCAACCCTTGGAATTAGGAAAATTGAGGCTGACACTTTATTGCCAACCTCAAACACTTTTAGATCGATAGTAAAGTTGGCATTGCTGAAAAAAAAAAAAAAAAAAAAACGAAAATGGATTTTTTCATTTTAGGACAGCATTTGATATACTTATTTGCCATACTAAGTTTTTTTTTTTTAAATAGATGTGATATTTGAAAAAATATGTCATCTTTATTTACTTTGATGGTTTATAGTATTATAAAAGTATATAACACAAGGAAAATTTTAGAAAATTAAACATATAATACCTTTATAATACAATAAATTTTATAGTTTATAGTATTATAAAGGCATTATATGTTTAATTTTCTAAACTTTTCCTTGTGTTATATAAAGGGCAGATGAGTCAAATACACTATAAGTAAAGTTCTCCCAGACAAGTCAAAACTGTTAATGAAGCTATAGTTAATATCAAAATTCATAACAAAAGTTTTAAGTTCGCGAAATCCAGATCAACATTAGGCAATTTTGCCAACTCAAAAGCTGATGTTTGTTTTACTATGACATAGAACACCACCTTAATCTCTAGAAGTGCCAGCATGCAAAAAATATGTACATGGCTGGATACTTTTCAGAGCAAAAAATTAGAAGGGTAACTTTTAGACTTTCTTAAACATCTTTTAATACTATTTATTTAAATATTCATAATATGGTTAATACATGTGCTGTAGTTTACTGTAAAACTGGATATAAAAAAAAAAGTAAATCAAAATGATTTTATTCCTGAAAATTCATTTTTTGATTTCCATAAAACAATCTTAACTTATTTAAAGAGTGGGTAGTATTTATCAATCGAAAGTTATGGAAGCCCAGTAAAAATTATATAATTAATATATATATATATATATATATATATATATATATATATATATATATATATATATATATATATATATATATATATATATATATATATATATAAATTATTAAAAAATACTAAAAAGTATTATATATAGAGTAAAGTGGGGTCTAATGGATTAGTATATATATATTTTAATTACACTTATATTTGCGTATTTCATTCTCTTCGAATGTCAATGTAGAATTGAATAAATTTTTTTTATTAAGTTGTAAAGAGTATTGAGCTGTATTTAAATATATAAAATTTTAACAATTTTTTTTTTAAGTTTTTTATGAAACTTTATTTGATTAAAAAAAATTTTATTCAATTCTACACTGACATTCGAGGAGAATGAAATATGCAAATATAAGTGTAATTAAAACAACACTTTATTAAAAAAACAAAAAAGCAATCAATAATAACAATTAAAAAAACAATCAATAATAACAATTAAAAAAATCAATCAAATAAAATAAACTTTTTTATTCTTGTGATGATGTTGAGCCGTTTAGAGGTACTAGAGGTTGAGTTGAGTTTTCACTTATGCGGCACTTTTTGTAGCAATAAAACTCAGCGCCTTTTACATATTGCTTTGGTATGCATGTTTGACATAGCCAAACCTTGCAATTTGAATTTTTACACTGGTATCATTCCATAATTTGACTTGCTGAAGTTTCGCCCAAAACTTTTCGGCACTTTTTACTCTTGAATTGGTTTGCAGCTAATATTTTTGTTTGACTTGTTGCTTGGTTTATTTGCTGTTCTCCATTAAAGTTAAGTTTAGGTTGTTTTTTAGATTGCATTGCTGCTTTTTTACTCTCAGCATCTTTCAACCTTTCAAGTATTTCAGGTTTGTTGAGACACTCCTCTTTGAATCTTGGCACATCTATATTTTTTCTTTTTTTTTTTTGTGTCAATGTGTTGGATACGAAACATTTGTTGCAAAGCTGATCCAAGTGATTGGGCTGCAACATCTTTTTGAATTTCCTTTTGAATAGCAGGAGTTTTTACAATATTGAAGGTTGTTTGCAGACAAGGTGACTTTTGAGATGACTTTAGAGCTGATGCTATGTGACATATGCTGATGCTAGATGTTGTTGGTGTAAATTCAGAGGGCAGTGGCTGAGGTAGTGTAATTCCTGGTGCTAGATTTGGTGATAGCACTATCATAGATTCTGGTTGTTGAGATGATGAAGGTTCAGTTTCAGATCTCAGTGTTTCAAATGTATTAGAAATTTGCAACTTTGACTGATCGATTTTATTGATGTCGAGTGGAAACAAGCCAGTATTCTGAAACCCAGTAACTATCTGGGTACGTGTAAAAACTTCACCAGAGCTGAAATTTTTTTTTTGCAGGTGACTGAAACATTCTTTTGATAAGTTGCTAAACTTTGTCTCTGCATAAAACTGTTGAAGTAATTTGCGCTAAACTCTTTTGACATGGCAATAAACACCAACATCTAGTGGCTGTAGAATGTGCAATGAGTGAGCTGGTAAGCAAATTAATAAGAGAGTACCTAGCGAATTTCATTCAATTATTATAATCATTTTATAAAAGCAGTAAATAAAGTCATTTAAATTCAGAATTCAAAATTGGTTCATTAAAATTTATACAAAAAATTTATAGTTGGAGATTTATTGGTCACTTGAGGCCTTATAAAAAAAAGCTGCTTTTAAGAAATAAGCTATTGCTTTGTATTTATTTATTAGTGTATTTCATTTAACCCCGCAACAATCAGTTTCTGTTTTTAACTCATAACTTTTTTTCCTAAATAGCAAATTTAATTTTGAAAAAAAATTCTTGATCAGCGTAAAAAGTTGTATCAGTAAACATTTTAAGTTCAATGATACCGAATTTAATTTCCAAGAGTTTTAAGTTCCCTTTTCAAACAAATAAAAAACATCTTATTACGCATTCGAAAACTTATAAATTTATAACAAAATTTTTTTAATTAAAAATAAAACTTTATACAGTCTTACTTAGAAAAATACTCTCTACAATATAATCAAAAAATAATTACAAAAAAATTATTCAATAGTTAATTAAAAGCAAAAGTATAAAAATTGTCATTTATTTCGTTCTACCCACTATTTCATTTTACCCTGTTTTACTCTATTAAAATGTTTAGAAAAAAAAATTAGTTTAACTTTTAACTTATAAACATTTTAATAAAAATTACAAAGAAAGTTTGCTCTGAACAAAAAGTGAATAGGAGTAAAAGTGATTACTACATGCAACACTATTGGTTTGAACTTCTTTCAGTGCATGATAAAAGGTAAAAAAAAATTTAATTCATTAAGTCAATATTATGTTAATAATAATAAATCGTTCCAGTTATGGAAATTAAAAGAACAATTAAAACATTGATGAAACATTAAAACTTTGATGGAGGAGAATTTTCCTTGATTTTTCAAAAATTCTTACTATGATAAAGAAATCGTAACTATTGAAATTTTTGATAAGATTTTCTTTTACAAAACAAAATTATATTTTTAAGTAGTTATATTACGATTAATAATTGCAAAGTTAATATAAATATATATATAATTAATCTGAAAGTTATGAAATATATATATATATATATATATATATATATATATATATATATATATATATATATATATATATATATTGTTTTTGAATGGATAACGTTAGTATTTAGGTAATTTGGGATAACGGTATTAACCAACGTGGCTGTCAACAGACCTACTCCCAGATAATGCTAAATACTTATCATAATATTTTAATCATAACTTTTGTACAGTGCAAAGTCACAAAACGTGAATGTGCCAATCCTCCTTACTTTAGCTTTAGACCTAATCCAACTCCACATTGAAAGCAAACTTATTCTAATAGTCTAGCATAACAAAATAATGCATTTGATAATTTAAGGGGTTAGCAATCTTTTAAGATGGAAGACCCAAAGTTTATAATTTATAAAAAGTTTCCTGTTTTTAAAGATCTACTAACATCTTTTTAATATTATAATAGTATTTGTGCATGGAGCTGGAGAGTCGCATTAAAACATTAAAACTTTAGCATCACATGTTTATACCAGGGTCGGCAACCTGCTAGCAAGCAGCAGGTTACCAATTCTGGTATAAACATTTAAAAAAATATAATGTAGATTATATACTTACATAAATCTTTATATGTTTTTACATCAGGCCAACAGACACAAACTTTGAAAAAATAATAGTGTTACGAGTAAACATCTCGCATCTACTCATTTAGTTATACATGTGTCAGGTAATTTTAAAGCACAACACCGTTTTAAAAAAGTAGAATATAGAAAATGTCATTAAAATACTAAAGGTTGGTTGAGTATGTAACAAGAGTACAAACGATGCCTAATTTCTTTTCTTTAAGTTTAGTTTAGTTGATTTTAGAGGTCAATTATTTATATTATTTACAACAATCGATAATAAATTCAATGACTTTTGAAAAATCATAAATGTTCGCTATGTTTAAATCACCA